CATTGGGCCCTATAGCTCTGGATTCTGGAGCGCGTGTCTCAGTGGGGAGGTGACACAGTGACCCTGGGGACATCTGTGGGCTTCTGTCTGTCCTGACTTTGCTTTTTTAATTTAAATTTTTATTTTATGCATATGAGTGCATGTAGGTAAGTGCACCCGTGCTGTGCAATACCCGTAGAGGTCAGAAGAGGATGCTGGATCCTCTGGAACTGGATTTACAGATGGTTGTTAGCTGCCATGTGGGTGCTAGGATTCAAACCCAGGTCTTCTGTAAGAGTAGCCAGTGCTCTTAACCGCTAAGTAATCTCTCCAGGCCCCTGACTTTGCTTTTGACAGGCATCTGTTCACCAGCTCTCAGACAGGGTGGGAAGTCACAGCCAAGGTCAAGCCCCTTCAGACAAACCTGTCTTGAACTTGGCCTTGCGAGATTCTAGCCTGTGTCCTGACCATGTGGTTGGATGCTTCTTCCTGCCCTTTTGGTGTAGTCAGAAAAGGAGGGGATTCCCTGAGACCCAGCAGGGGCTGTCAGACTGCGCGTAGATGTCTCTCCAGAGGCGGGTGTGGGCAGCTCTACAGCCAGCCAGGAAGATTTATCTTTAAAATTTTTTTATTTGGGGCTGGAGAGATGGTTCATCAGTTAAGAGCACTGTCTGCTCTTGCAAAGGACCCAGGTTCTATTCCCAGCATCCACATGGCAATTAACAACCATTCATAACTCCAGTTCCAGGGGATCCAATGTCTGTTCTGACCTCCTTGGGCATTGCATGGCACGGATGCACTTACACACATGTGGGCAATACACTCCTACATATAAAATATAAAATATTAAAATTTATTTATTTCTGTGTGGATGTGTGGATGCACACATGACACAGCACACACAACAGCACACGAGGAGGTCAGAGAACAACTTTGTAGAGTTGGTTCTCTCCTACCTTCTTGTGGGTTCCAGGAATCAAACTCAGGTTGTCATGTTTACGTGGGAAGCACCTTTACCCCCTGAGCCATCTCACTGGTCATGGTACATGGTTTTTTGAAACAGGGTCTTATGGAGCCCAGGCTGTACTTGAGCTCAATAGGTACCTGAGAATGACCTTGAACTTCTGGTCCTCTGGCCTCTGCCTCCAGAGTAGATCTCAGGCATACACCAGCATGTCTGGTTTATATAGTGCCAAGGATCCAGGTCGGGCCTTTGTGCCTGCTAAGCAAGCACTCCACGGTCTAAGTTACACCCCCAGCCTCAGCAATTGCATCTGAACTCTTCCCTAGAAACTTCTAGTCGGGCAGGCCACAGGCCAGAGTCCGAGGAGCCCCAAAGCCTGGCTTATGGCTTAGGGTCTCTTCCCCCAGGTCTGGTAACCTGTACAGGCCCCACAATGACAAAAGAGCTATTGTAACTGTCTTCAGGGTCCTGAGCAAGCTGGGGCTCCCAGCGGCTGAGAGCAGGGGGTACATCTTTCCAGTCAAAAACCACGCAGCACCCAGAACTTGGGGTTCCCCCTGAACTCCACCCTCTAGAACCTCACCTGCACACATACACTTCCTGGGGCGGCTGGGTGTTTGGGGTCATGATCCAGGGGGCCACTCGGAAGGTCACGCTGTCTTGGAAAATCAGGGCCTCAGGGAGGTCCTGCAGAGGAGGGGTAAGAAAGGAGTGTTCCGGCAGCCAGAGACGGGCACCTGCCACTTCCCAGGCTGGCTCTGCTCCCCGTTCTCCTCCAGGCTGCGGCCTTACCGGGTTGGACTTTTCCAGAAGGGAGACAGTGAGGGATATGAGCCCTGGGAAGTTGGCGTCCGGGAAAGCAAGACCCTCCACGTAGAACTCTGTGTTGTGATGACCACCCGGCAGCTCCAGGAGGTGGCAGGGCTGCTGTGGCCCCAGGACCACCTTGAACCTGGAGGGCAGTTTGCCCCCTAGGCAGAAGCAGAGTGGGCTCAGGCCTGGAAAATCTCTGAAAGCCAGATTTTTCCCTCCTTGGTGCTGGGGTGACTTTCCTGGCTCTCTACACGGCACCACCCAAGGGTCCCTCCAGGTCTTTAGGAGAAAAGCATCAAAGCTCAGGCTGAGACCTTGTTCTCCTGACTGGGGGTTTAGGAAGGGTATGATAGGTGCCAGTGCCATTCCCAAATTCACACCAATCATCATTCATTCATTCATTCATTCATTCATTCCAGAGTTCACTCAGCATACGGCATCATTTCCTAGGTGACTAGGGAGGAGCAAAGACCATTATATAGTAGATAGAGATTAAAGCAGTGATGGAGGGAAGCCAGGAGGACTTCCTGGGGGAGGCAATGCCTAGGTGGAGGTCTGTCATCATATCATGAGTTTAAATAACTTTGGTCCAGAACAGAAGAGAGCAAGAGTAAAGTCAAGTTGAGCCTCTGTGAAAGTCCACCATTGTCCACCCCTCCCTGGGTGAGGTCACTACATGCCCCTCCCCTTGGGTCCCTGTTTATCACTTTCACCCTTACACACCCCACAGTAACCACTCTGGCCTCCCTGCAAACCCACAGATGCTGTCCCACCTCAGGGCCTTTGCACCCGCTGTTCCCTCTGTCCTTCTTTCTGCTCAAAGGAACCTCCTCTGACCATCCTCTCTCCCTACCCCTAACCTCATACCCACTCTGCTGTCCCTAATTGTTTACCAGGCACCTCTCCTAGCCCACTAGAGTGAAAGTGACATGGGGGCAAAGGCTTGGTCATGCTCTTGGTTGTATGGCCTATGCCTAGAACTCAGCCTGGTACTTTCTGGCTGGCAGGTGTAAACTGCTTCAGTTAATTGATGTCTGATCAGCAGTGTTTCCTACAAGTGAGTTCGTGGCACACTCAGTCAGCTTGCATCCTATCCTATAGTGCTAATAGTCAGGAGGAGGAGGAAGAGGAGGATGAGGAAGAGAAAGATGAGGAGGAGGAGGAGGAAGAGGAGGAGGAGGAAGGGGTTGGATAGAGATGGAAGAGAGAAGAGGGGGGAGAGAGAAGGAAAGGAGAGGGAGAGGAGAGTGGTGAGTCCTCCCCAGAGGTCACCCCTCTCTGTCCTCCCAGTGGGGGTCTATTGGCCTGCCTTCTCGTCCCATCATCTGGAAGGCAGAAGACTCACAGTTGTGTCCTGGTCCTCAGAGCCAAGCACACCACAGCTGGATAGGAGCTACTAGCAAAGGGGGGTATGACAGGGTGGTGCCCCATCGGTTGGGACAGGAAAGGAACATGGGGGCACCTCATCAAAGACAGCAGGGAAAGGTGGGGCTGACTCACTCATGGCCCGGAATACCCTCACTTTGTCCATCTCGGCCTTGGCCACGTGCAGCACAAGCTGATATCTGGCGAAGAAGTCCTTGGGGGTCTTCGTGCTCAGGGTCATGGGGGACATATCCTGTAGATCTTAAAGGAGAAGCATGTGGCCTGAGACCACTAGTGTCCTGGGTGCTACCTGCCTGCTGGTGGAGCCCAGATCTGTCTCCCCATGCCCCTGCACTAGAATTGGCTTTTTTCTCTTTTAAATTTATTATACTTATTTATTGTGGTTGGTTTTGTTTTGTAGCACTGGGAATTGAACTTGGAAACAAGAGCTCTACAACTGAGCTATAACCCCAGCTATTTATTTATTGATTGATTGATTGATTGATTATTGTGTATGAGAGAATATGTGTAGAGAGGTGCATGTGCCACAGTACACATGTGGTCAGAGGACAAGTTGCAAGAGTCAGTTCTCTTTTTCTACATGTGGGTCCTAGGATTTGAACTCAGGTCATTAGGCTTGGCAGCAAGCACTCTTACCCCCTGAGCCAGCTCACAGGCCCCTGGCTTATTTTCAACAGCATTTAAATGATGTTTGTCTGTGGACTTCTCAAGCCTGAGCCAAGAATGGAAGCCCAGGGAAGCAGGGACTGTGTCTGGTTTCTTGCTGTACCCCTTGGTCCCGGGGCACCAAGGACTCCCAGAGCATAACTTGTTCATGGTAAGCACTTGGCACTGATGTGTGTACCAAGGTGGTGTGGAAGTGCCAAGTTGTTACTACAGATGACTGGACCACAGTGAAGGAGCGAAGGGCTTGGGTTCAACCTGCAACTGGGTAAGCTCAGGAAAATTGTTCAGCTTTCAGTGCCACAGTTTACCTAGCAGTAAACACGGGCAGGGAGCATGATAACAGGGGTGTGTGTGAAGAGGAGGTGACATCTAGAGCTAGTGCTCTCTGGACACCCGGGAGCACCCTCAAAAGTGAGGACTAGATAGCACTGTGAACTTGGCCAGACAAGGCCAACCCAGGTGTCAGCTCTGGCCAGCTGCACACATGGGACACGTGGCCATTTCCTATGCCATCCTAGGGTTCCCCAGGTAAGCCCGAGGCCAGGGCCACCTAGCCTCAGTATCTTATTGCCCCAGGTCTCTTGTCTCCCCTGCTGGACCTACCCCAGCATCACATCAGAGTGCCCCCTGAGACCCTTCATCCACCAGCATTCCTGCACCTCCAAAACCTGCCCAGGTGTCAGGCTGCATAGGTCTCAAATCCAGACTCTGCTACTGAGTAGCTGTGTGACTTCTGGCAAGTTGCTTAAGTTCTCCATGCCTCAGTTTTCCATCCCTCAGGCTCATTCTGAAGCATGCAGAGCAGTGCCCAGCCTGTGCCGGGGTCTCTGGACTTCATGATATGAGACAGCTTTATTTTTCATTCGATTCGGGCAGCGCCTTTGATCAAGCGCCAATGTGTGGGCTGGACAGGGTGAGCGTGGAAAGGGAGGTACCGTGAAACCCATGCTCTTCTGACCGTTGTGTGATCTTGGATAGGTCACCGTCCTCTCAGGACGTGGTTCTTTTTTTCATTTCTGTGACATGCAAGCATGCTTTCTCTGAACCTGAATTCAGGGCCTGTTATAAAGCCATCTGGACAGGTAAGCATTCTAGAAGGATGAGGCCTTGTCCCAGGAGCTGTCCAACATCTTTACCTTTGTTGTCCAGGACCTGGTCATCCTCAAAGTCCATGCTGGAAGACTTAGGGTTCTCCTTGTCACAGTTTACCAGCAAGATGGCGCCATGGCCACTGGGGCCCCAGGTCCAGGTGTTCTGGGGACACCGGGAGGGAAATGGACACTCTCAGGAACGCTTTCCAATCTCACCAGCCCTTGGCAGACAGGTGACTGGCTCTCTCTCACTTCCCACCTTGCCCAGTTTCCCCACCCAGTAATAATACTTGGATCCCCAGAGTAGACTTTTGCTGACTCTAAAAAATTGAACAAATCTACCTAAAATGCAATGGATCCTGGGCTGGAGAGATGGCCAGCAGTTAAGAGCACTGACTACTCTTGCAGAGGACCCGGGTTTGATTCCCAGCACCCACATAGGGTTAACAACCATCTGTAGCTCCAATACCAGGGGATCTGACACCTTCTTCTGAGCTCCGTGGGCACTGCACAACACGGGTGCACTTATACACATGCAGGCAATACACTCATACACATAAAATAAAAATAAATAAAATATTTTTTAAAAATGCAATGGATCCTTTTGTTTGTTTGCCTTTTTATGAGAAAGGGTCTATTGTAGCCAAGGCTAGCTTCAAACTCCTGAGGATAACCTTCAACCTCTGATATGCCTGTTTCTACCTCCCAAGTGCTAGGATTACAGGCATGTTTCACCACACCCAATTTATGTGGTGTTGGGGATCAAACCCAAGGCTTCCTGCATGCTAGGTGAGCACTCCACCAGCTGAGTCCCAGCCCCAGCCTCAATTCATTTACTATTTTAAAAAGGAGCCAAGGCCAGGCGTGGTGGCGCACACCTTTAATCCTAGCACTAGGGAGGCAGAGGCAAGTGGATCGCTGTGAGCTCAAGGCCAACCTGGTCTGCATAGTGAGACCCTGTCTCATAAATAAATAAACAGAAATGAAAAGGAGCCCAAAAGTAAAATAGATTTTTAAGAGCCTTTAAAAAAATGTTGGCTTAGGCTGAGCATGGTGGCACATACCTTTCATCCCAGCACTCTAGAGGCAGAGGCAGGTGGATCTATGTAGTGTTTGAGGCCAACCTGGTCTACATAGTGAGTTCCAGGTTAGCCAGATAGCTATCTGGAGAGATGGCTCAGCAGTTAAGAGCACTGGCTGCTCTTGCAGAGGACCCAGGTTCGATTCCCAGCACCCACCTTGTGGCTAACAACCATCAGTAACCCCAGTCTCAGGGGAGTCTAACGCCTTCTGTCCTCTGCGGGCATTGCACAACATGGGTGCACTTACATACACGCAGGCAATACAAGCATACACATAAAATAAAAATAATAAATAAAAAATTTTTAAAAATTGACTTGACAAACCAAAGAAGACAAGTATGTGTGTATGTCAAGATTGTAATGCACAGAGCTACCTTCACGTGGACCTAGTCACCCCTTCCGGTGTGTCCCTATTATTCTTAGTACCCACCCCTTCATGAAAGTGGCCCGTCCTATGGGACCTAACGGTGGGGTTGCCTTAGTGCAGGGTTGACTGTGTTGAGGCTAGAAGGTAAGAGATGGGCTACACTCAGAATGATCATCTTTTCCCAGTGAAAAATATTATAATATTATATATTATTAGATATGTTGTAGTGTTGGTGACAGAACTCGGCTTCACACTTGCTGGGCAAGCACTCTACAACCAAACCACACCCCTACAATTCCCCCACTTTAAAAAATCTATGTGAGCCGGGCGTGGCAGCGCACGCCTTTAGTCCCAGCATTTGGGAGGCAGAGGCAGGCAGATCTCTGTGAGTTCAAGGCCAGCCTGGTCTCCATAGTGAATCCAGGCCAGCTGCGGCTATAAGGAGACCCTGTCTCAAAAAGACCAAAAAAAAAAAAAAATTATTTGAGGCCGGGCGTGGTGGTGCACGCCTTTGATCTCAGCACTTGGGAGACAGAGGCAGGAGGATCTTTGTGAGTTCAAAGCCAGCCTGGTCTACATAGTGAGTTCCAGGACAGCTGGGGCTACAAGGAAACCCTGTCTCAAAAAGACAAAAAAAAAATTATTTGAGGCATGGTCTCACTGTGTAGACTTGGCTGGACTGGAACTTGCTATGTAGACCAGGCTGGCCTCGAACTCAGCGATCTCCCCTCCCCTGCCTCTTGAGTGCTGGAATGAAAGCTATGCACCACTATGCCCCACAACCTTTCCCCACTTTTGACATACCCCCAGAGGGATTTCTGTTTTCAAGTAGAAACTCCCTAAAATGCGCATGGATATAAATTTGTGCAGCAGCTTTAAAGTTTCAGGAACTCTCTGAGATTCACCCACAGACCTTGGATCAATAGACTGATGATCCCTTTGCACCCCATCAACCTGTCTTTCTGTAACATACATGCCCTGTCATATCTCACTACCTCCCTCCTTCCCTCCCTGCCTCCCTCCCTTCTTGATTACTCAGCCCTGTATACAGCTCAGTGGGAAACTCACCCCCCAAGTCAGTAAAGTCTGGGGAGCATTTCTGAGCCACAGCAAGGACCCAGCTATGCATTTTTTTCTATTACCTAGGTGACTCTTAGAGAGTCTAGATTATAGACTAACACTGCTCCCGAACCCACTATCGATTATAAACATGGCCTAGGTGACTCTTAGAGAGTCTAGACTATAGTCTAACACTGCTTCTGAACCCACTATCGATTATAAACATGGCCTAGGTGACTCTTAGAGAGTCTAGACTATAGTCTAACACTGCTTCTGAACCCACTATCGATTATAAACATGGCCTAGGTGACTCTTAGAGAGTCTAGACTATAGTCTAACACTGCTTCTGAACCCACTATCGATTATAAACATGGCCTAGGTGACTCTTAGAGAGTCTAGACTATAGTCTAACACTGCTTCTGAACCCACTATCGATTATAAACATGGCCTAGGTGACTCTTAGAGAGTCTAGACTATAGTCTAACACTGCTTCTGAACCCACTATCCATTATAAACATGGCCTAGGTGACTGACTCTTAGAGAGTCTAGACTATAGTCTAACACTGCTTCTGAACCCACTATCAGTTATAAACATGGATATCTATAGACCAAAATGTCACCAGTGGTTTTAATTTTCTTCTCTTGCTAGTTAACACGAAGCATTGGTGATGCACTGCTGCTCAGCTCATCACCCCAAGGAGGCACCACAGGAGGGCATGGCAATGTTAAAGCATGTCTTGCTGAAGTTGAGCCTCACCTGATTTTTCCCAGCTCTGGTCAGCTTCGCTTTGCCAGTGCGGGTGACGTCTGTGCACAGAGAGATTTCTGAAATCCAAATGAGAGGAGAGAGCTGGTGAGGGTGTGCAGTGGGGTCTCAACCTGGCCTGGATGGACAGGTGCATTCTGGGGACTCTGTCTGTCCTGGGGAGGAGCCTCTCTTTCTTCAGAGGAAGACATCCTTTTCATAGGCAGCTATGACTATGATGCCAGCAAGAACCCCCCCATGTCTGGCGACCCCCCAGGGGTCTCAGAAGGAATTCCCAGCCACCCCAGTGAAGAGGTTCCACGTGACTCCTACAAGGTCACCTTGCCAAGCCTTCCAAAGACTCTAGTCCCCAGCACCCACATGGTGGTTAATGAGCATTCGTAGTCACTCTAGTCCTAGGGGATCCAATACCTTCTTCTGATCTCCTCGGGCACTGTATAACATGGGTACACTTACGTCATGCAGGCAATACACCCATACACATAAAATAAAATATATTAAAATATTTAAAAAAGTGGATTTTATTTTTATCTTTTACTTTTTTAACATTAAAAATATTTTATTATTTATTTTATGTGTGTGAGTGTATTGCCTGCATGTACGTAAGTACACCCATGACAATACTTGCAAAGGTCAGAAGAGGGCGTTCAGTCCCTGGAACTGTAGTTACAGATGGTTGTTAGATGCTATGTGGGGGCTGGGAATTGAACCCAGTTCCTCTGTAAGAGCAGTCAGTGCTCTTAACCGCTGAGCCATCTCTCCAGTCCCAGATTTATTTATTTTTATTTTATGTGTATGAGTGTTTTTCTTGCATGTATATATGTGTGCCATGTGCACACCCAGTGCCTGTGGAGACCAGAGGACGGCAATGGATCCTCTGGAACCTGAGGTACAGACAGTTGTTAGCTGCTAGGATGACAGGTGTGCACACCATGCCTGGTTCATGCAGTCCTGGGATAGAACCCAGAGCTCCGTGCTAGGCAAGCACTCTACCCACATCCCCAGCCTCTCGTTTGTACTTCTTGGTGCTCCCTCTTCTAGGGATGGAAAGTTATGAACCACCAGATGCATGGACAGCTAGAAATTGCCCTTCTCCTTGGCTTAGTGAAAAATAGGCACCAGGCAGTGTGTCTTGGAGAGATGCTCTGCTGGGGATGGTGGTATATGGAGGGAAGAACGGCAGACCTTTGGGACCCTGGTCATCACTTACCCACCCCAGTGAGGTAGAGCAGGGCTTGGATAGGTGAAGTCTTGGGTCCATGGTACGAAATTCGAACCTGCATCACAATACCATAGCATTCATGACTACTCTTTTTAAAAAATATCTTTTAAAAAAATTTTTATGTGTATGCATGTATTGCCTGCATGTAGGTAAGTGCACCCTTGTTGTGCAATGCCCGCGGAGGACAGAAGAGACTGTTGGATCCCCTGGAACTGAGTTATAGACAGTTGTTAGCTGCTATGTGGGTGCTGGGATATGAACCTGGGTCTTCTGCAAAAACTGTCAGTGTTCTTAACCGCTGCGCTATCTCTCCAGCCCCTATTATTAATTTTTATATGTATGAGTGTATTGCCTGCATGGAGGTAAATGTTGGAGGACCCTGCTGCTAAGGTTGTAGTCCACCATGTCCCGATAGCTCTAAGGAGTTCGGCGCTGTATGGAGGACTCCCTTTCTCAGTGGAGGAGGTTGGCGGGGGGGGGGGGGCCTCCTGCCCCTTTCTTAGCAGCGGCCTCCTGCTCTCTGCCTGACTTACCTGGAAAGTGCCACCAAGCATGGATGCCCGACCTTATTTGGAACATGACCTTTGGCCTTGTTACCTGCAATAAAACTGCCCCCAGGTTTTTTCTGTATGATAATTAGGCATTGCCCTATAGCCAGATGATAGGGTCCCCCTACCACATTAAATAAAACATACTATGAACACCTATCAGCTGAAGCTTTGGCTGCTGCCTCCACACTATATTTTTTCCTAATCCCCACTGAATAAACAGAGCTGTATTACTGAATCTGACTCCCCGGAAGGTCTTTTCCATCGCTTCTGCTCCCTTTGTTCTAGTGGGTCGGTGGCCAAAGGCCCATGAGGGGAGGGAGAGACCCACAGGTAAGTGCACCCATATCGTGCAGTGCCTGTGGAAGTCAGAAGAGGGAGCTGGATCCTCTGGAACTGGAGTTATGGATGGTTCTTAGCTGCCATGTGAGTGCTGTGAATCAAACCTGGGTCCTCTGCCAGAGCAGCAAGTGCTCTTATCGCTGAGCCATCTCTCCAGCTCCGCCATGACTTCTCTTCGTCGTTCAGTGAACACAGTCTGAGCCCAGCTCAGCTGACTATGATGGTATAGAAGAGGGTGTTAGGGAGCCCAGAAGTGGAGGGGCCACTCAGCCTGGGAAAGGGGGTGAAGAAGGGTCTCAGGAAGAAGCCTTTCTTGAGAAGTTCCCGGAAGGGGAGCAGAGGCTCAGCTGCTGGAGTGGAAGAGGTGCTAGAGGGGAAGAGCCAGGGAACTGGATTCCTGCAAACAGAACACCAGACCTTGGGGCTGCTTTCCACAGGGAGCTGGGAGCAGGAGCTCTGATGGGTGCTGGTCTCCATCCAAAAGGGGCTGTTCAGATGAGGAATATCATCTCTGACTGTCTAATGATCAACCCAGGAAGGACTGGGGCATAGCTACAGCAGAGCACATGGGTAGCATGTGCAAGCCTCTGGGTTCATCCCAGTCTTAGCCACAGTGGATGAATGATAAATAAAAATTCAGAGAGCGGTGTCTGGTTGGCCCGCTGCCAGGCAGGGTGGGGCATCTGGAGTGACACGGCTGGGCAAAATGGAGCTGTGGTGGAGTTCCAAAAGCAAAACCAAAGAACAGCAACCAGAAGAGGAGCCCCTGGGGGACACACTGAGGGGACGCACCAGGGGGACGCACCGAGGGGACACACTGGGGGGACGCCCCGGGGGACACACTGAGGAGTGTCTGAGGGAACACACTGGGGGGACACACTGAGGGACACACTGAAGGGACACACTGGGGAGACACCCTGGGGGGACACAATGGGGGGACACAGAGAACCTGGGATCTGTCTGTAGAGAGCAGTGATCCTGGGAAGCAGCACAGGGTCATGGCCTCTGGTCTGAACCACGGGGTCCATGTCTGTGCGCTCCTTGCCTTCAGTCTACTCGCCAGGACCAGGCTCCCTGCTCATTGCTAGCCAGCGACATCTTTGTGAAATTCAAATGCCAGCCTGTGGCTTCCCCAGAGGAAACTTTTCTTTGACTTCCTGCCGCCTCCAGAACTTGAGGTCCCTAACCTTGTATAGTGACACAAGTCTGTAATCCCAGCACTGGGAAGGCCAAGGCAAGAGATGAGACTTTGAGGTCAGGCTGGTGACAGTGAGATGCTGTCTCAAAAGGTAGGCCGAGGAAAGGGAAGGAAGAAGGGGGGCGGAGGAGAGAAAGAATAGGAAAAGGGAAAGGAAAATAGAGAAAGGCAGTCCCCACTACCAAACCCTTCAAGCTGGCTCCCTGTCTCCCTCACTTCTCTCTTCCCTCCATCCTTTTCACATGGAACCTCCTCAGTGTCCCCAACGTGGATCTCTCAACCATCTCATCCAGAGTAAGCGCACCGGCCACCTGGGTCATGTCTCTCTCGCTCTCTTCCTCTCTCAGGCTGGCCTTTGTTCCCATCCTTTAGTTTACCATTCTTTGGGGAAGTCTCCCCTGACCATACCTCCTGGACACCCAAGCCCCGTGTTCCCAGGGCAGGTGACAGCATTTGACCCCAGGGAAGAGCCTCCTGGGTTTGTAGCTGGCTGTAGGAGCAAGACGTCTTTGGGAGCCCTAGAGGGTCTGGTTGACACTATCTACAAAGGGCATGTAGTGGGTTGAATGATGGTCTCCAGGAAACAAGACCCACCCCCCCACTCCCAGAATTTGTGAATGAGACTTTGGGGAAAAAAGTCTTTAACGGTGTAAGTTAAGGATGACTCTGAAACTCAATCCAATGGGATGTGTCCTTATGAGAGATGCATAGAGATTACAGAGAGGAGGCCGCATGACCAGAATGATGCTGCCAGATGTCACATCACAGAATGCTGTCACCAGACTGGAAGGGACTGAGATCCAAGGGAGCCCAGAGAGGGAATCCACCCACTCACACCTTGATGTTGGACTTTGGTCTTCTAGAACCATGGCCAGCTGCTGTTTCACTGGTGATTTACTGGGACGATCATTGGAAACTAACAGAGGTGCAGAATGGCGCTCCTGGGGGCTCCCTGCCTGTGGCCTTCAGAGACCTCACCAGCCCTGCTTATTGTTGACTTACCTGTGTTACCCAAGGACTGCAACGCCCCCTGCCCCCCAGACCACCTCCTGCTCATTCCTGTATTCCCAGTGCCTGGTGTGAGATGGTTGCTTATCAAACATTTGCTAAATGGATGGACTTGATCAAGGCTCCAACCCCCTGCAGCCTACCGTTTGTCTGTGATTAGACTAATTTTCATTATGAACGGATTGCATGTAGAATCACCTAGAAGACAGAGCTCTGGGTGTGTCTGTGAGGGTGTTTCCACTGAGGAGGGAAGTCCCACCTTGAATGTGGTGACCCTGTGTGGTGGCTGAGGGCGGGGAAAGGAGACAGTGAGCTGAGCACAGCATTCTCTCTCTACATCCTGGCCGGATGCAATGTGACGAGCCTCCTCAAGCCTTCCCCACCATGATGGACTGCACTCCTAACCTGTGAGCCACAATAAACCTTTCCTCCCTTAAGTTGGTTCTTATCATATATTTGGTCTAACAATGGGGTCAAGAACTAACATGTCTTCCATGTGGACACCATGGCTTCCACACTCACCTTCTGGTCATCTGTGCGGCTACTGGCCACTTCCATCCACAGGGTCACCTCCAGCTCGGGGTCCAGGGTCCATTTGGAGGTACCTGTGGTGCTCTTCTTGGCTGGGGGGCCGTGGGTGACATCAACAACCACTCCTGGGGAGGCAGTGATGCTGAAGGACGTGTATTCCTTAGGGGCAGAGCTGTGGAGCAACAGAGGTGGGCAGAGGCACTGGTGACAACAGGGTCTGGCCCATCGTGATATTGGCCCCAGCGTGTCTCCTTTTCCCAGTAGGTATAGGTGCTCCGGCCATGGGGGTAAGTGTGGTGGGGTTGCCAGGAGGGAATGAGAGAGGCCAATGAACCCTCTGACCTGGGGTCTTACACTTGAACTGGAAAGACAGCAGAAGGAGGTGCACACAAAAGGCCACACACACACACACACACACACACACACACACACACACAGAGCCCAGATGATGCTTGGGCACTCACGAACAGACGCCATCCATGGTTAGATTGAAGAACGTTAAAGAACGAGCAATCTGCATGTATCCATGTCTCAATATAAGACAAAATTATTAGACAAAACCATGTTATCCACAGAAGATCACAGCCTTATGATACAAGGTTCAAGTCATCTAGAAAATAGTGTCAATTTGTATGCACCTAATAACACAACCTCACTATGCATAAAACAAACAGAAGAGCGATTCCACCAAAGAAAGTCACTTCTGTTCATGAAGGACACGGTAACATGAAAAGGGCAATGTGACCAAAAGAGAACGTGGTATAAGTCATAAGTCAGCAAAGGCTTAGCACACATGATATTTAAAGAACCTAGCCTAATCATCAGGAAAATTACAGCCCAATTTTAGAAAAGGCAGCTGGGTATGATACCTTTAATCCCAGCACTCAGGAGACAGAGGCAGGCAGATCTCTGTGAGTTCGAGGCCAGCCTGGTCTACATAGTGAGTTGCAGGCCAGCTGGGGCTATAGAGGGATCCCGTCTCAAAAACAAAAACAAAAGGGCGAAGACGCTGTCTTAGTTCCTTTTCCTGTGACTGTAATAAAATACCTTGAGAAAAGCAAACTTAAGGGAAAAAGGGTTTTATTGGGCTCACAGGGTACAGTCCACCATGACGGGAAGTCATAGCCACCTGAGCTCCAGGCTCTGGTCTCTGCAGTCAGGAAACAGAAAGAGATGGATGCTGGTGCTCAGCTCGCTTTCTCTTTTTTATGTAGTGCAGGACCTCAGCCCAGGAGATGGTGCCACCCACATTCAGGGTGTGTCTTCCCACCTCGCTTAACCTAATTTAGATACTCCTTACACACACATGTAGACGATCTTTTTCTAGGAGATTCTAGGTCCTGTTGAGCTGACCATCTTAGACACAAACATCAGAGACTGAAACTCAAATGAACAAGAGACATACAAAGATGAGCTTCACAGATCAGCGAGGAAACGAACGTCAGGGCTGTGAGACAGGGCTGTGTACCCACTTGATTGATGAAAACCAACTTAGGACCGTATGGTTCATCAGAAGCTCAGGCACCCTGCTCATGGGAAGGCTGAGTTCACACTGTGTAGTCCAACTGATCTTGTGAAGCCAAGTTCACACTATGTAGATCATCAGCCAACCCCAAGCCCAGCAACTCCACTCCTAGGCACCGGAGCATCTCTCCCATTGTACATGTGCTGATGTGAACAAGATTCAGAGATGCACTTTCCGTCATAGTGAACAACACAGCCTTGACTGAGTTCTCCCAGAGAGAGAATGGCTAGGAAATTACACCCAATTCAGACAGGGTGCAGGAGACTCCCTAGCAGGGCAGGGCTCACTCTGCAAGTTTACCACGATTGGATTATGCCTTCTGTTTTTCCTGTGGTAACAAACTTCTATTTCTGTTTAAAAGCTGTATGTATTCACGATAGAAAATGGGAAAATACAGGGCTGGGGAGATGGCTCAGCGGTTAAGAACACTGGTTGTTCTTGTAGAAGACCCAGGTTCGAATCCCAGCACCCACAAGGCAGCTAACAACTGTCTGTAACTCCCTGTAACTCCAGTCCCAGGGAATCTGACAGCTTCTTCTGACTTCCGAGGGCATTGCACGACACGGGTGCACTTACCTACATGCAGGCAATACATGTATACACACAAAAAATAAAAATAAGCCGGGCGTGGTGGTGCACGCCTTTGATTCCAGCACTGGGGAGGCAGCGGCAGGCGGATCTCTGTGAGTTCAAGGCCAGCCTGGTCTACATAGTGAGTTCCAGGACAGCTGGGGCTACAGGGAGACTCTGTCTCAAAAAAACAAAAAAATTAGAAATAAATAAATAAATGAAAATAAAAATAATAAAATCTTAAAAAAAAAAAAAAGGAAGAAAGGTTTCTTCCGGCCACTGGTTTCAGAAGTTCAGTCCAAGTTTATGTGGCCTCATTGCTCTGGGCCTTAGGGAGCATGTGGGAGGCCTGTTTACCCCATGGCAGTCAAAAAAGCAGAGACAGGGGCTGGGGATGTGGTTCAGTTGGTAGAGTGCTTGCCAATCATGCACGAAGCCCTGGGTTCCATCCCCAGCGGAGCATAAACTGGGTGAGGTGGCACATGGCTATAAACTGAGGTGGGAGGAGGACGATCAGAAATTCAAGGTCATCCTCAGGCACATAGTGAGGCCAGCCTTGGCTACATGAGACCCTGATGTTAGACAGAGAGAGAGAGAGAGAGAGAGAGAGAGAGAGAGAGAAAGGCTGGATGTGGAGACCCACACCTGTAATCTCAGCCTGGGGAGGTGGAAGCAGAAGGCTCAAGGCCATCCTTGGCTACACAATGAGTTTAAGGCCAGCCTGGGCTACATAGTGAGAAGTTATCTCAAAATACAAAACAATAGTTGGGTGTGGTGGGGCATCCCTTTAGTTCCCATGTTCAGGAGGCAGAGGCAGGTGGATCTTTGTGAAATTCAGTCCAACCTGGTCTACATAGCAAGTTCCAGGCCAGCTGTCTTAAAAAAAAAATTAGATCATCCCCTGAAGAGGTTACCCAAATTGCCAATAGGGAATCAACACAGACCACTCTGGCTTCTTCCGTGCTGAACAGGGAGGGACACGGGGTGAGGCAATCAGGGGATGGTGTGATAAGAATAGGAAGTAGGAATTGGCTAGGCAGTTAGGGTTAAAAGACCCCAAAGAAAAGTAGCCAGTTTCTTGGCTAAAAATCAAAATGTCCTTGGGCCTCTTAGCAACATACTCTGTTCCAAAGGCCAAAATGTCAAAAGTACTTGGGAACTTTTATCTAATCCCTACAAGGTTTTAGGGGTACCTCTTCAGAGGGGGGAATGTTAGAGTAGACAAAAGTCCCTTTTTTAAAAAAAAAAGAATATGCGAAGTTGTTCAGGAAAAGTGATGGGGAGACATGGGAGGAAGCTGGAGGGGAGGGAGTGGGCGTGTATTTGTTCAAAACACTTTATATGCATGTATGAAATTCTCAATATATTTTAAAAAATAAATAATAAAACAACTAAATAAATAAAAAATAAAGCTAAGAGAGAAAGAGAGAGAGGGGAGAATTGCTTCCTCCACCTGATTCCGGCCTCAGTGTCCTGCCTTTCACCTCTCCTGATCCGGCTTGGCCTTGGTCCCAACCACTGATTCATTCAGATGGCACTTCGAGCTGCACGGTTGGCTTCCTCATCATTTTCATTTTATAGGTGAGGAAACTGTGGCTGGGGAAGGTAAAGTGACTTTGCCAAACTCAGCTGGGCTACCAGACAGCTGTGCTGTGGTGCACTCACTCCCCCAGCACCCTCCCTTTCCATTCTCACCCAAGTATACAATGCCACAGTGCTCCCCACACCTGATTCCCCACATCTCTGCCCCAGGCCCAACTCATCGTCCTCCCCTCACCATCCTCCCTTCACCTGAGGCCGCTCCTTTTTGAGACAGGGTCTCCCTGTAGCCCCAGTCTGGAACTCACTATGTAGACCAGGCTGGCCTCAAACTCACACAGATCTGCCTTCCTCTGCTTCCCAAGTGCTGGGACTAAGGGCATGTACCACCATGCCCAGCTAAGATTTACTTATTTTTATTTTATGTGTATTGTGAGCCTGAGTACATCTATGTGCACACGAGTGCAGTTGTCCATAGAGGCCAGAAGAGGGCGTCAGAAAAAGAAAAAAAAAAGGAAAAAAAATGGTTTGCTATTAAAGAATTCCCAGTCTAGTTACTGTCCATTGCTGTGATAAAGCACTGACCAAAACCAACTTAGGGAGGAAAGGGTTTATTTCACCTTACAGAGTACAACCTATCATCAACGGAAGTCAAGGCAGGAACCTGGAGGCAGGAACTGAAGCAGAGACCATGGAGGAACACTGCTTACTGGCTTACTTCCCCCTGGCTTGCTCAACTACTTTTCTTCTTTAAAAAAAAATTTATTATTTATTTTTATTTTATGTGTATGTGTGTATTGCCTGCGTGGTGTAGGTAAGTGCACCTGTGTCATGCAATGCCTGCGGAGGACAGAGAGGCTGTCGGTGGGTGCTGGGATACCAACCTGGGTCTTCTGCAAGAACAACCAGTGTTCATAACCACTGAGCCATCTCTCCAGCTCCTCAACTACCCAGGCCCACCTGCCCAGGGATGGCACCACCCTCAGTGGGCTGGACCCTCCTATATCAACCAGCAATCAAGAAAATGCCCCACAGACATGGCCACAGGCCAATCCAATGGTAACAATTCCTCAGTTGAGGTTCCACCTCTTCCCACGTGACTCTGGTTTGTGTCAAGTTGACAAAAAAATTAACCAAACACAATGCTAGAGGCTAGGGAGAAGAGATGGTGCAGTCTATAAAGTGTCTGCTTTGCAAGTATTAGGACCTGAGTTAGGATAGCCAGCATCCTGCAAAAGCCAGCCATATAACCTTAGTACTTGGAGGTGGAGACAGGCAGATCCCTAGAGCTTGTTGAATAGCCAACCTAGAAAATCAGTGAGCTCTAGGCTCAGCAAGAGACCCTGCCTCAGCAAAAAAGATGGAGAGTGATTGAGGAAGATCCCTGACACTGACCTCCGGCCTCCACACACATGTACATATGAGGGCATACACACCCGATTACATGCATACACATAATACACTACATAAATAATGCGACTCCAATTTGCATGTCGCTCTTGCCCAAAGGTCATGTTATTTTCTCTGAATCCATCCCA